GTTGTTGTTGTTGTTGTTGTTGTTGCTGCTGCTGCCTTTCTCACGCAAGATTTCGGCGGAGGCATTGCCATATCACGTGGAGTTTGGACCGGGATGCTGCTTCTGTCTTACAGGTCCGAAGGTGCCTGCAACCGGGGGCGATGTGCTGGAACGCCACGCGGCCCCAAATAGGTCGCACTTTGGTCGGGCTTCGGGCGTTGGATGTTTGGGGAGTGTCGGTGTCATGCACGGGGTTTAATTTCAGGATTTTACGATTTCGCCAGGCGCCGCAGATGTAGCCTGCTTATTATTTTCGACTTGCTGCAACTGTATGGTTGGTATGAGGTCCGGTTTGGGATTTGCCGACATGTGGATGTTCGCCCCGAGGCACTTAATTGTTGCAGCTTTCCACAAGAGAGCACCCTACTCTCATTGCAGACTTCAATGAGCACCTGACACTTTTGACCGGCTCCTTGCTGAGGAACAGCCTTCCGAACCCGGAGGAACTCTATTTGAGCCGGTTTGTTCTGTTTCAAAGCGTTGGTTTTTCAAGAGAGGCTTCTTGGGCCCAGTCGAAGATTTCCAGCCAGATCTGCATGAGGTGTCCCAAGCGACGAGGAAGAGGTTGCACGCGAGACGCTTCGACTGCAATTGACGAACTCAAGAAGCTCAGGATCTGAAAGGAAGCATAGAGGCATAGAGCGAGGACTGCACTTCTGCTCAGAGACCAGCTGCTCTATATCTGATGTCACCCGTGACGGAGGCAAGTGCGAAAATACGTCTCCCGCCACAGCTCCGCAATCTCGACACCGACGACCAGGCCGGGTGACATGATCCTTGCTTTGTGGTCGTTTGGACGTGTACAAGGTGAGGCTGCGCATGGCAGCTGCTCATTGCAGTTGGCTGCACCCGCATTCGGATTTCAATATTCGGCTTGCATATCCGTGTTAAGACTCCAGTCAGTCGGCCCCTAAACTCTAAACCGTCTTGCCGGCCTTGTGCGAGTGTGAGAGTCGAAACTCTAAACCGTCCATTTTCAAGCTCGCATCTTCCATCGGTCCGAGGTGATATTTTCACGGCAATGAGAGAAGTTCTACATGCTGTTAAGTTGTTCAGGTTATGCATGCGCAGATAGGTGAGTAGCTAGATAGATTGACCGGTAGGTAAAGAGGTTGATCAACGGCTGATATCCGTGGATATGTAAGTAGATAGGTGGATAGATGGATAGTTAGATAGGTGCAGATCGATCGGTAAGATACATAGACTGGCAGGTAGATAGATAGGTAGATAGATAGATCGACAGCAGATAGATAGATAGATAGATAGATAGATAGATATGCATGTTATGCTACATGTACACTTGTGCAGATCCATTAATGTGCGCATGCCCAGAAAAGACATGCATGCATACCTACACACAGTAGCTTCCTTATGTCTTGACATTCGTGCCTGGAACGGGCAGTAAGTGTTTCGTTTCTGGAAGGCCACCGTCGCACCTGGACGGCAACGGCTCGGCGCCCTCTTCGAACCCCACGTCCCGGCCCTCCACGCGGCCAAGCTCCCGAGGCTGTGCTTTGGGTTTTGAGTTATACTAGTTACATGGTATTGTGCAGGTTTTTGCAGCTGACGAAAGATGTCACTGTGGTGGATTGGCGCTTGTATGTTCCTCAAATCGCTTTGGTATGCGATTCCACGTGCTTGGTGGAGTTTCGCGATCCGAACCCAGGCATTCAGCTTTGTGTTGTTGGGTGGATTCGTTCAGGACGCATGATGCTTGAGGTGGTGCGCCGCGCCGCACGGTTCTGCACATATGTTTCTTCATCTGACATGTTAACCGGTGTGTTAGGATCGTGAGGTCTAATCTGTATATGCATATATGTATACATGTTTAGGGCCTGTTTAGGGTGCGCTGAATCAGTTTACCCGCGCGCATTCAGAGGAATGAGTTCAGACAAATATGGGCAATGACGAAGTCCTTCCCAGGCACAGCCGCGCAAACATGCATCGGATATCGATCTTCCCCTTCCTGCCTCTTGCTGTCCTCCTCCTTTTGATTTGTTGGATCCTCTGTCATGACCTGTCCGCCCGACAGCGAACTGAGTGCGCGAAGCAACTGGTAGTCACAACTAGGGTCTTAAGAAGCGGCAGGTATTTTCAAGTGTATTAATATATATAATGCATTGTAGTGTACTGTGTTGTAATGAATGTAATGAAATGTACTGAAATGGACCGTAAGGTAGTGTATTTCAACACACGAAAATGTCAAGTTGATGTATGTGTGCACATGTGCATGAAAGATTTTATGCGAAGAGAAAGACACAGACACTAGCGTGTTTCGACATGGTTCAGGTACCGATGCCAAAGGTTTTTTAGGCCCGGTAGCTCTCGACACGTCTGCGGTTGCGTGGCTGATCATAGGTATGCCTACCTCATCTTTCACTCTCACTCGTATGAACCAAAGATTAACTGCTCCTTGGCCGTGTTTTTTGCGTTTGTTAAGTTTTTGCCTGAGAAATATTACTGCCAGGAGTTGTGGGACGCTCCTCGCGACCATCTTCGTCGCCATCGATTGGCATCGGAAGTCGAGGAGGCCTGGACGCTCATCTTTGTATCCAGCTAAGTGCCTCTAACTTGGGACCTAAGCCAGTTTACTGTAGAGGGTGCACCCGGTGGTCTTCGATTCAGTCGAGTTGTCCGCCGTTGCAACTTGAAGGTTTCTTGTGTGCCCAACCCGAAGCCATTGCTTTGTGATGTGATGCGCTTCGCTGGACGGAGTCGCCAACCCCAATCGAAAACCGGCCACTGGGAAAGTCACTTTCGGTACATCGTCCGTCCAACTTGCAAACGCAAGAAACTGATCAGTTGTGTTATTGCAGGGTTTCGGTCACCCTCAACATCCGAAGCTGTAAACCCCGCACACTGCGTTCTCTCTGATGTCACTGATTTTCACTGAAAAAGAGGATACAGGGCTTACATCACTGCAGAAGAACATGCGCAAGAACCCTTTTCTAATTAGTTCGGTCCAGCCCTAGAGAAACCTCATGAAACCTCTCAGGTTCTATAGAAGCTTAAATAATTTCCAATAGTATTCTTTGGGGTTCCTTATTATAACTGTTATAAGTCTACTGTTAAGGAGCCCAACAACCTATTCAAATTACTAAGCCCGTACATTCACCCTATATTAATCTGTGTCAGGGAGGCCTCGCCCGGCCTCTTCGCCGATGGTGCGTGGGCAGAGCTGGCGGGAGGTGCATCTCGGGTTTAGGATGCTGTGGCCTCAAGGATGGTAGGGCTCTGGGTTGCCGGTTTCTGGTGGCTGCATGTTTTCAGACCGTGTCCCGCCTACGGTCCTTGTCAGTCATAATGAGGTCCACGCCGTTTATTCATTTCAGCCCTTCGAAGGGTCTGAAAAAAGCCGGTGATTCTGTGATGATGTCTCGCTATGAGCCCGAGAGTTCGGGGTTTCCGGAGAGGTGCTTCGGGCGGCTGAAGCTACTCGGGACGCTGAGACAAAGAATTCGACTACAAGCCCCTAGCATGCTCCAGTCGGGATCTTAAGAATACCGGGTTGCCATCCTGACCCGCCCAGACGTAGTGAACCGCTCCATGGGCCTCCACGTATTTCACTCTTTCGGCCACAACTCAACTGCGGAGTAGATGTTGCTGTTGAAAAGAAGTAGAGGACTCTTGGAGCGGGACAGTAGAGCCTTGGTACTTTGCTGACATTCGGCTATTCCTTTCCTTATCTGATAAGCGGCCTGGATCTGAGAAGATTTTGCCTCTCAGGCCATTTGCCCACACTCGGTCAGATCCCCATGCTGGTAGTGCTTCTCATGGGCGTGCACAATGACAAGGGGAAAGGCCCTTTTGAACTTCTTGCTCCGAAGGAGCACGAGCACCAAAGACCAGTTGTGCCCAGATGTCTTGGGCGCTTCCCTGAAAAAGAAAACTTGAACGGTGTGTGACTCTTAACAGAGCGCTGCGAAATGCGAGTTCCGCGGGCCGAAGCTAAACGTCAAAGGTCGGAAGCTGTATTCAACACACCGGGTTAGCGGACGAAATCATCACAAGAAAGTCAGCAGACAAAGAGGGCCTCTCACTTCCGTGTAAGTCCATTTGGGGCACAGCCGCGAACTGCAGCGGTTTCTGGAAGGTTTGGAGTGCTTAAGCAGATGCAGAGAATTCAAAGCAGTTAGGATGCCGCTGAGACTGGTCGGACTGGGCACTCAGGGCCGGATCTGTCGGAGAGACAATAGTCAATAGTATGTATGTATGTATGTATGTATGTATGTAGGTGTATATATATATATATATATGTTATACTAAAAAACTGAACCATAGCATAGCACACGTGCAGGCCACTTGACGCATATTTGATGCGCACGTGTGCATGATATTTTAATTAATGTACATACCTTACGTGAATGCATACATGCATACATATGCAGTAGCTTGCTTGATCGGTTCATTTATTGCTTGCTTTATTGATCGATTGATCGATCGACCCTGGTTTGTGCATTCGTCTGCATTCATTCATGCATTCCCAGAGAGAGTCGCAGAGGACTGCCGACTACAAGCAACAGACAACGTAAAGCAGCAGCATGCCTTCAAAGACGGGTGCCCAGCCTCCAGGTGAGGCGTAAGCATGTCTGTTTCACATCCGCTAGCATGCACTGCTCCTGGATGGTGCTTTGCACCCAATGATTCGTGATCAGCCGGCCTTCATTCTTCATTGCACAAGTGGTGCTTGCGAGCATGGATATTACGGTACAAGCCGATGTACAAACATCATTACGCAAGAGGGATTCATACAAGAATCACCTCCTGCTGGCTGAATTGAGTGCTGCACAGGCCGCAGTTGATATGGCAGTGAGTCGAAAAGCAGGGCCGTTGTGGCCATGTGATTCTTCAAGGTTTTTTGGCACACTTCGACAGACATACTTCCTGAGGCTTCCTCGGCACCGACCTTTCAACGACCAAGGGAGCTCTAAACCCGAAACCTCCAAAGCACATTGCAGCAGGACGAGCGCCGTTACGGCCACCTCTGAGCAGGCGGCACGTCGAGCTGTTGGCACCACGCTGGAGGCTGCGAATATGGGAACCTGACTAAGAAGCCTTGGATCTTAAGGGTTCTTTTGAGGGATCGATAGGGCATAGGGCTTTATTGGGGGTCTAGTATAGGAACCTGACTAAGAAACCCTACCAGGGTTCTCTATATGAATCCTAATATTTTGGGGTGATAGGGCCAGGGATTTCAATTCAGGTCCCTGCATTACTTTGCACATCCTTTGCTCTCCAATGTGATCATGATCATGAGGAGAGTGGTGTTGATGATGCTCATGCTGATGATGATTATGATTGTTATTTTGGTGCGGATAAGCTGGGAGAATCATACGTATGATGACAGAGGATGAAAACAAGCAATGCTATTTACCTGCATCGCTACTGCAGTTTGTTATCTAAGCTGTTCATGGGTTTAGCGTGAGGAGTTTAGGGCATCGATGACATTAACAACGACACCAAGAGCCACAATGAACACAACAGCCACTACGCACCAGCAGCAGCAAGACAGCTACCGCCATCAGCCACCGGCCACTAGCACTTGTAGCAGCACCGGCACCTCAAGCCCCGCCACCAACTGCAGCACCGGAACAGCATGACACGGCAGCAACAGCAACGTGGAACTTGTACTTCCATTTGAGAAATGGGGTAAATCCGACGTTGCCAGCGAAGAGCCAAGATTTAGGTGGGGGTGCGGCGAACCAGTGTCCGACCTTGTGATACGGCCGTCAGCTTGCATCCAGGCCGTCAACTGGGTCATGCAGGCCAAGGTGCAGGCATTGGCGCAATCAGAAGCTGCATCGAAGTCCTTGGCGGCCTCGGTCTTCAATCTTTAGTCGTCAAACTTGCAAAGATTGAACGGCGCACCCTAAGATCCTTTGTGTGGTTGTTCCGAGATGTTCCCGACTGCTGTGCAGCCACGCCGTGCGGTGGTGATAAGCCGACCACCTGGACACCACAACGGCTGCAATGAGCTGCTGGAGGCCTGGCGGCCAGTGTTGTTGAGCATGTCTCGGAAGTCATCAAGTGCTTGATGAGAATGTCTCTGACATGCAGCAGGCTTCAGCACACGTCTATAAGCTTCGTCTCTCACAAGGCAATTCAGAAGAACGCATGGCGCTTTGCGGCGCATGGTGGGTGCATCTTGAATGAGCCGCTTGTCTTGGTCGGGTACAAGCAGATTTGCACAAACGTAGCTAAGTCCGGTGTGTATGTGTGTGTGTGTGTGTTAACTACAACTATAAGCTTGAATGCAAATCTAAAAATATATATATATATATATATGCCTACCTGGACCACCGTTTATGGCTAATTTACGGCCCTTTGTTTTTTTTTCGTTTTTTTACGCTCTTACGGTCTGGGTTTGTTTTTTTACGCTCTTTTGGGTTTTCGAGGGTTTTGTCGATTCGAGTCGCCGCAACCTCAAGGTAGGAGTCAAGCACTGGTTGGGGGTTTATAATAGCATTATACTTGAAAACAGAGGTTTGTAGCCTTCGTAAAGCCCCCAAAACCTTTATATAAGCGCGCTATAACCCTATGTTACCCTGCCTTATATTATATATAACCCTTTACAGGATAAAACTTATAATAAGCCTTATAAGCCCCCCTAAAACCCCAAACCCCTTATAAACCCTCTACTCCTCCACCTCCCTAAACTGAAAACCTATATTTTAAATTACATGTAACGTCATAATATAACGTACCGGTATATATGTCCTAAACCCGATGATAAACCTTATAAACCCCTGAAGCCCAGAACCCTTACAACCCCCTGAAGCCCAGAACCCTACAACCCTAACCCCTCGGCCGGCCCGATGTTTCGCCTCCTGCGGGCAAATGCTGCGCTGGCGAGCAGGCTGGCCCGATATGGGATCTCGATCTTCCTTTATGAATCAAGATAAGGCAATATAATGTGGTAAAAGGAGACCAACAGAATTGCTCTAGTAGAGAGACCTCACTTTACAGGAGTCCCATATGGTTCAGCATAGCAGCCTGATACCGTCTCAAGACACGACTGTGAACTGTCCTGGGGCTCACCCGGCGGCTGAGCCGGGCAACTTGACCTATGAAATCCTCGCACATCGATGTGCAGTTCGTCGTTGGATTAAACACCATAGAGCATTTGCTGTCCAGAGCTGCAGCTCGAAGCTCTGCCACTACATGATGCCAGTAGTGGCACTTTGGTACCAGATTGAAAAGGAGTTTCTTCTGCTCTACACAGTGATTCACAAGGTGGCTGTAGCAGAAAAGAAACATGTAACCATCCTCGGCACATTGCAATGCAGTGGATTTCTGCATAAATACACCTTCTTCATAAAGGGTGCGCATGCAAGCACCGATAGATATACATCCCTGACGGAGGTATTTCCAAGGCTTTTCTGTGTGGCGGACCGGCAGGTTGTCGACTAGCCAAAGCAGGAACTTCATTAAAATCACTGAATCAGACCCTTTGTTCCAACTACCAGATGCATAGGCTTTGGGTGTTTTCGCACCAATCAAGTCCAAAGTCAGCTTTTGCACATGTAGTGGGGTCTTCGTCTCCTTCACATACTCCTGCAGCTTGTGATTCATAAACCGCATTTTTTCTTCGTTGGAATTGCCAGCACAGAGAGGCAGGATCAAGCATAGGCCGCTTGCCGCGTATTCCTTGTAGATGCCCATATTAAGGATATGAAAAACATCCGGCTTGAGGAAAGAAGGTTCGTCCACGGAATGCGGAATTGCTTTCAGGATTGTAGGCTTCGATGACCAGGGTAGTGGATTGTGCTCACCTGCAGTCATCATCCATGGTGCATCTTTGGCGAAGCACTCAAAAGCCACACCACGGCTGCCTGCGAGGCACCAAGCACAACACCCAGGGAGGTCTTTGGAGCGAGCATTCGGAGCCCTCTTGCGCACCCGCGTAAACGATCTTTCCAGCCCTGCTGCCTTCGCATGAAAGACTAAGTCGCCTTTCAAACCCAGCGGAAGGAACCTCCAAAGCTGCCCTTTGTATTCGAAGCCATTCCTGGGATCTGTTTGTGTATACTTTTTCCCCGTACAATTATGATGACGACTGCTTGGGGCTTGTAGCGGCTTAAATATGGTTGCATGGGACTTCTAATAGAGAGGGAGACAAAACACAAAAACCGCCAGATTTAAAAAATACACAGCTGATTCTGAAGAGAGCCCCGGATCTCGTACAAGTCCCCGAACCACTCGGAAACAGCTTCCAGAAGCTTTAGCAAGGGAGCCGGATCATCATTGTAGTGGCGCTTATGGAGCACACTGAGGAGATAACGAGTCTGAAAGCTGTGCCCCTTGAGATTGATCTGTGCTGCATCAACCTCTCCCGACAGTTTACGCTTTCTCGTACTCATCCTGGTGCCAGCTCCGATAGCCGGTTGCCATTGCAACACCATGAGCTCCGATCTCTTGTAAGTTCGGCCCCCGTCGCCGTGCAGATTCAACGGGACCAAATGAGCAGGATCCACCGCACCCGACTTGATCTCGCCCACAATCGGATGATCGTACTGATTGCAGTAATGAGTCCAGAAATCTTGCAGTTGTATAGACGCGGACTCTTCAGGCCCACCGATCACAGACCAGAATTTGTCTAGCTCACAAAGTTCAGCAATGAAGTCTCGGGGTCTAAAGGCGGGATGCTTCTGGAGCACCCCACCACCAATATTCAGGTTTGTAAAGGGAACATTCAGCAGCATCCCAGTACTATGAAAAGCTTTGTAAACCCCATCCTCCTCGTGACCCTGCGGTACCCGAACCAGTCTGTCAGCTGTGGGGCACAACACGTCTCCATCTTTGCTGGAGGCAACGGCACGATCCACGATATCTTTCGCCGCCACCTGGGCAGCAAAAATTGAGACGGTTTGTGGGATCATGTTCATTGGGGGGTTTATACCAGTTTGCGGAGAAGCTTCAACTGGAACTTGTAAAACAACTGAGGCCCTGGGATGCACATTGGTGTAGAAGATACGGGTTTGGCTTCTTGGGGGAGCAAGGCTGTCCAAAGGCTCTTGAATCCTAGTCTTGAGGGGTAGTTGGTAAGATTTGATTTTTGGTTATGCAGCTTTGTAACTTGGAGATTCAGTTGCATAAGCAGACATACGGCAATCTGCACCTTGTACGACTATAGCTGCATGAAGTTTCTCTTCAGGTTTGGGATGTGAGAAGATCATGCTAAGACCCCGGCACCTTTGCCGTAGCTAGTGACGTAGTCGCGGGTCTTGTGGTTGGCATTTTCCAGAAGCCGGAAACCTGGCATATGATCTTGATCGGGAATCATGATGGAGCCGGTTCGGGTCTGTGTTGACCGACATGCTTCGATAACTGCTCATGTGCAATTCAACTCTGCACTGTCTGGCGAACACAGGCACACATCACTTTTCTTCACACACACAGAAGCTCTAGTAGCTCCAGTCCATGAGTCTCGGGAACGAAGCCGAATTGGCTTGCCAGTGTGATTCCCTTCACACTGTTCTTGAAAGCGAGCTCAATCTGTATCGATCGGGCTTCCCAGCAAAACTAACAGCATCAGGCTTTAGCTTTGTTAGGCTTAGCCTTGGCTTTAGCCTTCTGCTTGGGCAACTTCTTAGGCTGCGCTTCCTCCGCAGCGGGCGCCTCTTTGCGCTTCACAGACCTGCATGGTGGTACAGGGTTTCAGGGAAATTATGCATCTATTGGGGTTTATAAGGTCCTTTGTCTCACCCATCATAAGACTTATCTAGGGCACCTTAGGTTTGCAACGGATGATTTAGGTTGTGCTGAAGGGATTTCGAGGCATCTGCCACAAGGAAGGATTTGGCATTCTTGCACGACTTCCAGGTTCTAGATAGGAGTTGGAACCATATAGCAATATTATTCGGACAACATATCGCACTAGGGTTGTATACAGCATATGTTTGGCTGGGAAATTCATATTGTATTGGGGCTAAATGGGTTCAAACGGATTCCTAAACTATCCTTAGACTGGGGAGGGCCTGTATGGGTTGCACAGGGTTTATGGTTGCACATTTTGAAAGTGTTCGATCTAAGTTTTGGGAAGGCGTAGCTTGCGCTTCAGATATTGTCGGGTGGCAAGGCTTGCAGGGAAAATATTAGCACAGGGATTCTATATACAGAATCCACCCCGAAGCCTTATAATTAAGATGTTAGAGTTCGGGGGTAGAGTGTATAAGTCATATAGGGGTTCTATAGAGGATCTGGGAAATCTAGGAAACGGCTCTGATAATTTAAAAGGGGTTATAGGGCCAGAGGGTTTCCAATATAGAGGCCATGACAGCCACTTCGAGCACACACTCAACCCTAAACCCTATAAACCCTAAGCCCTAAACCCCTAAACCCTCAAACTAGAGGGTTTCCCAAAAAAAGGCCATGACAGCCACTTCGAGCACACACTCAACCCTAAACCCTATAAACCCAAAGCCCTAAACCCTTAAACCCTAAAACCCTAAACCCTCAAACTAGAGGGTTTCCAATATAGAGGCCATGACAGCCACTTCGAGCACACACTCAACCCTAAACCCTATAAACCCTAAGCCCTATAAACCCCTAAACCCTAAAACCCTAAACCCTCAAACTAGGACCCTTATAGCATCCGAAGTATAGCAAACCCAGCATGGACCCAGGCGACTTGTTCTTCAGCTCGCAAGAAACAGCCAGAACACACCTCGGGCATTTTTTAAGGTTTGGGGTTTAGGGTTTTTAAAGGTTTAGGGTTCAGGGGTTATGGGTTAGGGCTGACTGGGCTTCCCAAAGGGCATCTGCAGTACCTCTAAGTTCGAGCAGCTAAGACCTGCACTGGCGCTTGACGGCCTTGCCCTTGTCATCTAGCTGCTGCTTCAGCCTGACCAAGCAAAGCAAACCGAAGCAATTGTGAACTATCGTAAGATAAGACAACTCGAAGTCTTTATTGTGCAACAGAGAAACGTGGCATTCATGCCATTGACCTTGACCTCTGCCTGAAGCCCGGCCAAATCATCATAGAGCGTGCCCAGTTTGGCGATGCAATCCTCCATGCTGCTGATTTCCCTGAGCTGCTGGACACTGCTGGGTATTGGATTGGGTGGTTTCAGTGCCTGGGTTTGCATTATATAATGCAGGAAGGACTCGTTGCCGATGCACCGTCTTTCTTCATCTTACCAACCAGCTTGTCC